ATGAAATAATTGCACTTAACTGTCATGGATATTAAAGTTATCACACATATGTACCGCGAAAGCTAGAATACATTTTTTTCTTTACAAAGCACTTTATAAAAAAATTCTCTGCACACAAAACCTATAATTTTCATATTACTATCATACTAAAGATAAATTCACTTTAAAGCCAACACTTAAAACATTTTAAACAAAAAAAAGGTACCAGTACCTACACACAGACAATAACAAATACAAGAATACTGTACTGCCAAGAGGTTTGACTGAAACTCCTTTTGAAAGCTTCTGCAAATATGTTAAGAAAACATTGGAGAACATTCACTTTTTTTCAAAGAGCCTTCCCTCACTGTCTAACCTAGAGGTACTTTATCATCAAAAGGTAAGTTCTACATCAAAAGTTACCAGCAGCAGTACAATATTAAAGTAACCACTGACCATATATGAATATGCTTAAGTCACAAACCCATTTTATACACATTACACAAATAAACATAAAGTGAGAATTCCATTAAGTCATTTACAAATGTGAACAAATGCACATGGCAAAAAAAACCCCAAAACAAAACAAAAACCCAACCTGTTTTACATAAAATGTACTGAAGAATTAAAGGCTATTCAGGTTTTCAATGTTATAAAATTCTTTTGTCTTTTTTTTTTTTTTCAGGCACATATTGTATTTTTTGTCTGCAGTCATGAGCCTGAATCAGAGGCCCATAAAACAAAACAAAAACAAAAACACGTATTCTGTAAGGAGGTAACAGGGATCCATCTCCTTTTAGTCAACCGAGTGCATTTAAGATTTAATTTACACACTAATACTAATTACATGATCTTGGCAAGAATGACCTGAAAAGTTAAAAGATAAAGATGTCCAAAGTGTTTCTTGTACTTTGACTTATCCAGCCTCAATCTTTATAGGGGGCTAAATATCTCGTTATGAAAGATTAGAGGGGGAAAAGAGATCATCCTGAGAAAAGTACAAAACCGGACTCTATTATACACATCTGCTGTGTGACCGGGTACGTGTATCAGTATGGGTCAAGTAAAGAGTAGACAAAAGGTTTCAGTATGACTGATTGAGTGATTCAGGAAAACTATACGGGGAACTGCTTCAGAAAGCAAGTATGCCCTAGGACTTGCAGTGGAAAAATAAATAGATATGGATTAGTACGTCAAATGTTGTATCTGCCTTGAACTGGCCAGTTACTTACATTCAACATTAATGTACACCCTTCATTATTTCCAATAGCCTATACCGTGGAGGTTTTAACGGAAGAAGCTACTGCCAAACTTAATGAGCTGTAGCTGTGGTAGAAAGGGAGAGTGAGAAACAGGCATTATATCTGCAATTCCTTCAAAATAGTGGTGCAGTACCTAAATAAAATCGTTTTGGAATTCAAGTAAGTAAAACTACATTTGTTAGCAGTAATTTTTAACAGCCCCAAATGGTACCGTTATGCTTATTTTAATATTTTTAATGAGACAGAAGTGTAGTTTGTCACAAATATTGGCTAGTACAGCTGAAACGTTTGGTAATAACTGAAAATATATGCTCTACTTGTGGGGCGAAAGTGTCTTTGCCCTACGTCAGTCTCATTGAGTTCAACAGGATTACTTGTCTTATAGAGGTAAGTGAGATTTAGACCTTGAAGGGATAACAAAAATAATATTTTAGAGACAGGGAACTTGAATTATCACAATATTTACCACACAGTGTCACAATATTTCTATATATAAAAAGTTAATCTTAGTTTTCATCAAATACTTTAAAAATCAAGTTAAAATTGTATACACAACTATATAATCCCTCTGACAGCTTTTGGTTTTGCTGATATTTGTTCTTTCTAACATAATTTTCTTAAAATCTTGCTCCTCTTCCCATCAATTGTAGTTGTAGTGTACAGTATGGCCCCCGTTCACAGAAGGTATCAAATAAAGACACTTTAGTAAGAGGAGCTAATTTTTTTTCCCAAGACATCATGTGGGAGAAAACCAAAACAAAACAACCCTGTGTTTTGAATAGTGCTGGCCAGAGTTTCTCTAACAGCACCTTCATCCACAATGTTCACACTCAACATTTCAATGCTTAAAAACACACAATTGCATTTACCCTAGCTATTCTCCGTTCTCTGTTTTCATCTTTTTTTATGCATCAGACTTTCAGCATGCACAACTTTGTAAACAAAATCTTCTGTCTAAACAAAAAATCTTCACAGATACCGAAATATTATTAGGAGAACAATAAAGTCACATTTGTCCACTGTCTGAAATTCTGCAGTATATGGATCTCTCATTATGCAGATGCACGACTGGATGAAGAGAATATAAATGCAAATCATTTTCATTTTTATATCACAGACAAATCAGTTGCTGGTTTGCAATGCTGTCAGAAATGGCAAACAGTAGATTATTCTTCAGCAGGTTGATCATTAGCAAAATTACTTTGCTATAAATGGTGCTCTTTTGTGAATGGAGGCCTGTAGATTCAACTTATTCCAATAAACCAAAGGCATTACGGTGATAACTAAATATTTTTGGTCTCTCTACAAATTGTCATTATGGCAGCACTTTTCTAAGCTGGAATTTCAAACCAAAGGCACTTTCATGCTAGAGTGCAGAAGAGTCACAATTAATTATTTGGTCATGAAATTTAAAAAGGCAGCATTTATTAATACAATTCACTTTTCACGGAGAACTAAGAATCTGTAACCTTTCCTTTTGGTATAGGTGTTTAACTGCGTAGTAATGGGACTGACTTGTACAGAAGGTTGGTTTAGACCAAGCAGTGAAAGAGCGTTTCTGTGGGAAAAAATACAGATATTTTTAAAAATGGAACCAATTAATAAAACAACGTATAAAATTTATGTTAAGAGGCTAAAGGTACTTCTAATATAATGCTAAGGCACTGCATATTGTAATGCTTTGGCAGCTCTCAATTAAAAGGTTCCTACAAAAAATAACAGTAACAAGATAAGTACTTCCAGCTTACAAAAGAGCTCACAGTTTACAGGCAGCCTGTTAGACTACACACCCCACACTGAACAGTTGAAAGATTAAGGCTTTTAAGAATTAACATATACAGGGTATGGATCATTTACAGAAGTGTAAAGAAAAGACGATGGAAGTAGTTTCCCTAATATTACATATGTGAACACCAATAAACATTGTGACTTTTTATACCCTATAGGTATGGCATATGTAGTGTGCCAGATTCTATTAAAAAACTGTACCTGGTTTTGCAAATTGACTTACATACTTTATATGCCTCAAAGAATTTGCTTGTTATTAAAAAAAAAAAAAAATCACCAAAACCACAATTCAAACCCTAAATAAAAGACAACTTTAGAACAAAATAAAACAAAAAAGTAGTTTTTGACTTGTAACACCAAGTGCTTAGAATAAAGGGCTACCATTAGGCTGTTACAATGCAGTGCTTTTCCTGATGTGATTGTTAGTGTTAAAAATGAGTGTTAAAAGAGACCTTACCATGGACACGTTTCTCTGTTCAGTTCACGGAATATAAACCGAAAGATCATCAGCCCTAATATCCACAAGCAGGGAACAGCTAGACATCACAGCAATCATCCACCTACTAGAGTTAGATCGGAGGCAGGCTAAGGAATTTATGCAGTTGCCCTTTCCCTCGGTAATGTTTGTATCGTCCTCTAACCTGAGTCCCCACCAGTGTTAAGTATGAACATGGTCTGACGCAGGCGTACAGCAACCCGCTACCTCGTCTAGGCTATATTCTGGTCTAGGTAATTCAACAATGGGCAATTCTAACAGCAAGTACTATGCAGAAATATAATATTAAAAAAATAAGACTGGCTTTTTTGAAGACTACAGCACTGTGCCTGGGAGTAAAGTCTAGACTTAAATTGTGCATGGGTGCATATTGGTAAAGGGCAGGGAGAAGGGACCTGACATGTGTTAACTTCTTTGATTCAGGATTGCAGAAGACCTTCCCAAGAACACTCTTTGCCGATACCTCATGACTAATCTTTAAGGTGGCTTGTGCTTGGCTGGGCAGCCCTCAGCCTTTCAGACAAAGGTTTCACGTGAGAACCCACTACTGGCCCAGCACCTGCTAAAACAACTGCTGCTCGGGCGACTGAGGGGCAGTGCTGGCCGTGCAGCAGAAGAAAAGAAACTGAGCAACGCTCTCTGGTTTGGCCAGGAGGAATGAGACTACTTCTCTCACAAGTGTGTACCTCAGACAATCACTCATGCCCACATCCATGGTTCGAACCCTTATAGTATTAAAATATCTCCAGCTGTACTTCACTTCCTGGAGTCTTCCCTGAATGTATCAGAAGGATGAATACTACCACATCCAGATGCAAAAGGACATCGGACCCCACGTGGTATGTACGCATTTGTTCCATATAGGGTCTTCGCCAGTCGGAACTGGAGAGACAACTGGGAGAGGTGTAAGAGCACCATGATAAAGAGGAAAAGGAGAAAAAAAACATCTCCAGTTTCCAGTCTTTGCCTGATGTTGGTTGTGATTTTCTAGCATCTCATAGATATTAAAGCTGTTGATCCTTTCAAAGATGTACGTATTCTTCTTTCAAACACATTAGTGTTTTGCTCTCAGTTTACGAATTACTCGATGCTGTTGCAATGTCAGTTGTTTCCATTCATCTGTTAATTTCAGAGTTGTAAGTTTTTCGCTCAACTTATTAGAAAACATAGTTGTCCATATAAAATATAACTGCACACACAAGACTACATATAATGCAAGTCTAAATCTTCAGTATTTACCTACTTATTGCAAAATGAGCCATCTTTTTCATTAAATAATCAAATTTTCATATTAGTACAATACAACTTTATACTCTTAAAATACACTAGATATGTTAGGGATAAGGGATGATGTTTTCTTTCTCTGCAATACCTGTTTGAAAGTTTAATGGATTAGAAGATTAGTTTTAGCGTTGAGAAAAAAATACAAAATTTGCCTAATTTTAGGACCTCTCTGTTTCTATCAGGCATTTCTTAAGGCTATATTTTTCATTTGGTTTCAAACAGAAAAATGTTTCATTTTAAAAAATAATTTAGTGAATTACATTCGTCCATATCTTCCACCCTAATTAGTTACAAAGATAATTCTATAAAGATTATTAACTTTGTGTACTCATTTACAGTTATAGCTAAAGATTAATTTCAATTTCACTTGCATTGTAAAACAAGTATTTCATGTTGGAAAAAAACCCAAAATAAATTCTTATAAATGCTGTCAGTTTTTCCCCATGGCAAATGCTCTGTCATACATTTTTCTATCAGAATTAAAAATAGGCCTCCACAGGCAGAGGCGTTAGGTTCTTAAATACAGTCTTCCCAAAGAACTGCGGTTTACAAATTTGAAGAACACTTAGTTTTAGAAATAATTTTTACAACTGTACCAGAATTTCACAGCTACAATTATATATGAACACATTAAAAATGACTTCACTAAAACAGGATTTAGAAAAATGTGGGTGAAAGTTGGGCCAGAGGCACTGCCACTTAGTGTTGAGGTTTACAGTCTGTGTTTTGATAAAGAAGTGAAATGAAGTGTATATATAAATAACTGCTCAGTCCTTTACAAGCCTGTAGATATGATGCTGTGCTCCATGTTCGCTGTTCGACACTTCAAATACACAAGCCATGCAGAGCAGGGTTTCTTGTGTATCCCTGTTTGTTACAACCTGTTTGAGGGGAAGGAAGAGGTAGGCAATATATTACAAACTAGGAAACACTCGAGCCGAGACAAGAAATGACTGGCTTAATTTAGACAATCTTCAGATGTGACTGTTTGAAACGTGTGTCCTCTTGCTCTCTCTCTGGCAATTTAAACTGAGCTCCGTGACTATGCTCACACACTGTGCTCTGGGGCCGTAGCTCCTGGCGGATGGCACTGAGATTCATCCCACCCTGGCTGCTTGACCATGAGCCACCATCATGTGGTCTTGGCTCAGCTTTCCTCAACCTGAGTCCCGCTTCAGCCAAGGGAAACGGGCGCACCCTTGTCACCTTGTGTTCACTTGCCAAAAGGCAGCTGAATGGGGAGCATGTGGCTCTGTGCTCGCAGCCTTACCTCTTCCCTGTACCGCCAGCCCTTGGTCCTGCCCGAATCCTACGGTAGCAGCAGCAGCAGTGCGTGGCTCTAAATGCTTGGCTGAGGTGCCACTGCAAAGGCACGGTGAAAGCGAGCTGGATAACTGGGTGAAACTGGCTTAAAGGCCACTCTGTGGCCCATTCTTCATGCTTTAGGTCACCTGTTGGGTGTACCCATTACTGCATGCTTTCCTGGCCCAAGAACTAATTAACACCACTGACATTTGCAGTATTATAACTGACATCTCAGTAAGAACACATTAGATTAATGGGATGGTTCAAAGTTACTGCCTCAGGCTCCTACAAACACCAAATAGAGACTTGTACAAAAAAAAGAAGCAAGCTGAATTTTTGGAAGGTAACAAAGACGTTTGTTCATGTTCTCAGCCAGCTTAGCCTTTTCATCCTTAGCGTCTATAGTGCACAATTCCAAGAGCATTACTCTGAAGTCAGTGGGATGATTTGTTTAGTAAGCAACATGACTAAGGGATTCGGAAACTGGTTCTAAATATTACAAGTTAAGCAAGCCACACAAAGCCTGAGAGTATTTTAGAAATGGAAAAAATAAAAAGTGAGTCCATACCAATAAAATTGTAAAATTTTCCAACACACTGTTCATCATGTATTTCTCTGGTAAATGCTTCAGCTTGTGTATGAAGTTGATCATATATTCACACATTGGAGAGCGATTTATTCTGTACACAAATCGGCCATTCTCAAACCTTGCATATTCAGTCTAAAAAAAAAAAAGAGCATTTAGAATAAAATAATTCAGAAACAGCAAAAAAGTGAATACTAAATCTGGTTTATTTCTTTCTTTGTGTAGACAGAAAAAGGAGAAAGTGGCTCTCGGACACACACACGCCTACTTGCTAACTCCCTGCCTGAGCTATACGGTGCCTTGCTAAAAATTCAAGGGCCCTTAATTATTAAAAGTTGTAATATCACTACTTGTTCTCTGACCTGTGAATTAAAAGACTGAACAGATGATGATTACACAAAGGTAAGTCCAAGTCAAGTAAAAATGAATTAAGCAGAAAACTTTGTGGTAAGATGATTTTACAGTAGTTTCAAGGCAACTGTCTGCAAAGGGAACAGCAAAAACAACCTTATATATCTATGCATAAATATACACATATAAACATAGCTATATATTTGCATGATTTAATATGCAAAGACTATTGTCTTGTGCAAAAGAAAGACACAAGACTACAGTCAGAAGAAAACCAGACTGATTTAGATTGCAGGAGCTCACGAGGGGCTGAAGGAGGGTAAGGCTGTGACTCTTGGACTCCTGCTACCCAGCTACCAATTGCTCGAATGAGCTACTCAGCGGCTCATGGGGTTTTTTGGCTTTCTCTAAGCTTGGAATAATGGAAAGGATGGAAAACTTTTTTACGGTTGCCATGCACAGAAAACATATTTAGTATAAGAAGGACATGAAGTGACCAGGATATCTATAAATGCTCAACCTACAGCTCTCGGCTAAAAGTCTCGTACAAAACCTGTCTTGCGGATAACAGATGTGGGTGTGGGGCTTAGTACACAGAAGACAAGTTAAATAGCTGCAGTACCATTGTACAATAAATCAACTAGCTACCTGACCACGCCATAGAGTTCTGTGCTTAGAAAAGAAAGGGTAAAAAATAAATAAAGGTCCTTGCATGTTAAGAAAATATGCAACTTTGTATTCAAAAGCTGCTGGTGACCAGGGAAGGCATGCCTTTCTGCATGTAATATAAGATAAAATAAGCACGGGTATAGACAAAACATAGGACACCATCATTGGCTTTAAAATGTTTTAAAAAATCGAGATGCTAGCTTGTCACTGTAGTATGGTTCCAAACAGGCTACGTGGCTGGCCGAGTGTTTGGAAATGGGAGCACAAGCATTTTGCTTCAGCTCTTTTCTTTTTCTGCCAGGTGATGGAGGAGGCAGCACTGACGTCAGCTGCAGGTTCCCCACGGAAGGGTGCCACAGGCAGGGGGGAGGAGGGTCTCCAAAGCAACAGGTGACTGACTGTAGTGTCACCAGTCACATGGTGATTTAAAATGAACCCAGACACTGCTGGGAAGAAAAATACTCTTTCAGAAAGGATTAGAGGAAGGAAGGAAAAGCCAGATAAGAGCAAAGTGAAGACAAGAGAGCGAAAGCCTAAGAAAATGAAAGAGAACCAAAGAATCATCCCACATATACCATCACAACACCCACCTCTACTTTTTCTACTACTTGCTTTCCAAACGAGCAGACTTTGGTGGAACAGGTGATTGTCATGTTTTCTGAGCTCTCGTACTGACTAGTGACTCCGTAAAACGCTCCTGTATCATCTTGAATGTTGCAGTTTAAGTCAGCCTGTTGGGAAAAAGTAATAGATGTTGAAGATCTTATTTTTCATTTGACAATGTCAGTAGCATAAGCTGTAATTAGCTCACCATTCTTTTCAGAAATAAGGGAGAGCAGGGGGAGTTTTATAGTGACAACAGTGACAGTGGAAAAAGTCTGTCAGGAAGTACCTGCCTAATTAATTGTTGCAGTAAAAACATTAGGGAAGCCGCAATTTCTTCAAACTTTAAACAACAAAAGACAACCCAGTATTTCTCTGGGCTACAGGTGATGTTCTTGTCTGGCAGACAGCTGATGCAGTCTCTGGAGCAAAGGGAATGATCACCTGCAAGGAGCCTGGCTCCAGAGCTCATTCCTCGGGAGGGAACCTGCCCTGCGGCCTCAAATTCAACCAAGCCATCCCGCTCCTGAGGGGCCACAGTTCACTTTCTCCTTCTCCTTTCTGAAAGCAATGAAATCCTCACGGCAAAGGGAGACAGCTGCACCACACGGGAATCGATATCTGATAAGAGTCTGTCAAGCCATATGGCCCTGATTCAGCAAAATACTTGACTGCACGGAGCTATATGGCACAACTCACAGGCTTCACGTGAGCTGTGTGCGCACTGAGCTGTGCCTACAGCACCAATAAAATATTCCTGGAAGTATTTGATTTCTTTTAGTATTTCTGTGCAGCCTGAATAACTATCCGGCTGCCTTTGATATCTAGCAACAGAGATTGAGACTTGCAGGATCAAATGAGGAACAGTGCTACCTTTAATTATTTATATCCAAATCCAAGTCCTGTGCACAGCATGATTAATTTGGCTACAAAGCAAGAGCACAGGTCACATGCTGAATCCAGCCTCCCCAGGCCTGCAGCAGCACTGAAGCTGTTATGCCACTGTGCTCTTTGTCATCATGAATCCATTTTCAAAAGCCCTCAACTTAAAAGAGCACTAATATGGATACAGGCAGAGTCTAGGGATATCCACAGCTGGATTTGTTGATTCAGGCATTAGCTCTGCTAACATCTTTGGTGCCCAGAGTGGGCAGGGTTTTCTTTTTATGTGGAAATAGCTGATCAGCTACTGCAGCGTAACATCTAAGAATCGCTTGAATTTTTAACTTACTGTGAGACAAGCATTTTAGCAGGGAAATGCACTTTTGAAGCTGTTTCACTTGCAAGTCTAGCTCTGCTTGTTTTTATTGCTAATATAGAAGTGTAACACAAAAATTTTGACATATACCTTTGTGTCTACCTTGAGACTTTTTAAAAACCCAGTTTACAGGTATGTTTATTTACTAGTTAGTGTGGAACATTTATAATCCTGCCTTCACGATAGTTCAGGCCATTTGTAACTGCTATTTAATTTTTAACTAGGCAACACCTCATTAATTCTACTCAGTGTCTACAGTCCTTATTTGTGGTACAACATTCTGAGGCAATATGCTGATAATAGCACATACTGAGCTAGCTTGTGGTATGGAGAAGACATAGGTCTGAGATTACTTCAGGCTGGCTTTGGTAAATTAATCAGCGGAGAAGTCTCCCGAGGTTTACACACAGTAACACAAACAGCCCTATAGTCACGTATTTTGCATAACAGAAAGAAATCCTATCGCTATTACACCTTGTTTCTTGCATATGTTTTGCATGAGGTCAGCAGTTAATGGTTAATGTACATCTAAAGCAGTGTGTTCACAGTGAGCTTTAAGAAACTGTTCCAAGCTAATAGTAAATAAGCAATTTGCCATCACAGCTGGCTTGCAATTGAAACATGAACAAACATCTAAACATGACAAACTGTAGCAGCCATCAGCCACGCCACAGCTGCTCCATCGGAATTTCTGAAGAATAGGGATTTCTGAGAAAACAATTGCATTGGTGTTAATAATGTTAATAACAATGTTGCTAGTAATAATGTTGTTAATAATAATAACAACAACAATAATAGCAATCTCTTAAAAAGTGGTTATTCCTGCTGCTACCACAATTACAATTTTACTATCAAAACATTTTCTTTTTTCTTTTTCTTTTTCTTTTCAGATATGGGCAAAATATTTAAGAAATCTTAACTAAAATGCTCCTCACCATTTCATGTTGTCAAAAGAGTCAACCACATAGACCTTACATTTCAAGCTGCAATAACAACTGTTTATAGTTAAAAGAAAGAATAACTTTTTATCTGCTGCCTTCTGATTCTGAAGCCCACTGAAGAAAATACCTAACTGTTGTATTTACATGCTGACATTTAACCTGGAAAAGTAAAACATGTGGCCATCTGGCACCCTGTTGATCACTCCCACAGCTCTTCCAACTCTTGCTGAAATCACCAGGAGTCCTGTGTACACAAAAAATACAGGCTGGGGCCCTGATGTTTGAATGAGGAACACTTGAAATTATCACTCAGATGTCATGATTTACTCTTATGCAATCACAACGTTGTTGCAAAAGTCCCGTGATGATAATATAGACATGAATTATCTTTATTTGCTCTTTGATTTTTTTGAGTCTAGCACACAATAAAGGTGTTTTCAAGGAAGGACAGAATTTTCCTTTTAAACAACAGTTTTCATGTTCAACTAATTACAGACTGCTGAGAACTGAAGCTTTAAGACTTCTCCAAAAAGTGTAACACCAACATAAAAATCCCAAGAGCTGGCAATGGCAGATGATACTTTTAAATGAAGGCTTCACCAAAGCCTCTTCTAATACTGAAAGATTTTTGTCTGTTCTCGCATACTAAAACAAGTCCTTCCCCTCAATCTGGGTTCAAACTTTTTCATTAGAAGCTGAGTACATGAATACTAGGGAGGAGTGCATATCATTGCGAAGAGGGGATTGTCACATCAAGGAAGTATTCTGAACCAGGTATTGAAAGTTTTGTTCCATGCTGAATACCTTTAGAAAAGAAGGATGGACTATCACTGCTGGTAAAATACAAATCTTTGGTTCAAAAATGATGGTGAAGGACTTGGTAATTATATTGTTATGGCTTGCTTACATAGTAAGGGGTTTGTCTAAACACATACACCTGAAAGCAAAATTGTATTTCTTGAACTGACGAAAGTGGGTCACAATTAAAATTCAGGGTTAGGTTGTTTTGTTTTTTTTTTCCTCAAAAAGGTTATAAGGCTACCAAAAAAAAACAGAAAAAAAAAAAAAAGGCTGTGCTAAAAATGGGCACTGATCTGGCTATGAGAGTTGTAGCTGTAGCTTTGAGCAGGAATAAGGTGATGTGTTACCCCGGTATTCAGTTTTAGCAGGCTCCTTACTACAGTATTGATTCCAGGTTTTGTGTCTACATTTTAGAAAGGATGTTGGAAAACTGGAAAGTGTTCAGAAAAGAGTTACAAGAATGATTTCAGGTCTGGAAAACATCCTTTGTAGTGAATGACTAATGAAACTCCATCTACTTACTTTTTCCAAGGGAAGTTTTTCCACGAATTTGTCATAGCCTACAAGTTGCTACATGGGGAAGAGTCTTCTGATTGATAGATTAAATCTTGCAGAAAAGGACATTAAAAGTCAGAAAGCTAAAGCTAAAGCTATGCAAAAGCTAAATGAGAAACAAGGCAGAGGCTGGTAACCTTGATGGCAATGAAACGCTGGCATAATTTTCAAATGTGGTGGAATCACCATTACTTGGGGTCTTTTTTAACCAAGCTAAGTATCTAACTAACAAACAGTGATGCTCTAGTTCAAGTAGGCTTATTGTCCAGAGGCAGACATTACTTAGTGAAGTTCACTGCCTATATTACAGAAGAGGCAAGACTAGCTAAATCTAATAATAGCAAAATTGAAATATAGGAATTTATCTTATTAACCTCAATTAACCCTCTCCTTATAATTTCCTTTTTCAATGATCCCTGTGAAAAACGTGACACCAGTCAAGCTTCTGGAGCGCTGTGCTTGCAGCCTCCTCATGCTGCAACCAGCTCGGTCTCATTATTTCCTTGGTACTCTGTCGGTAGCTGTTCTCTTGCATTTCAGACTCAGATTGCAAGTCTATCTGGGCTATAAACCAGCTTTCCCTTCTGTACAGCTTCTCATGCAACTATGCTCTGACCCATGGCTACAGAAATTAGGGTTGATAAGCACTGTTGTAGCATATACAGATAAATAACCTTGTGAATGGTGATTTCAAATATATTGGCTTGATTTCAAATATTATGGTATTTCAAATATTATGGTATGACCACCTGTGATGAACAGGAGTCCATTTACTCACTGAGTTTTAAAATACAAGATCAATACAATTTAGGAAAAAAACCCCCAACAACTTAAAAACACAAATGGAGTTGGTTTTTTTTTTCCTTTCCAGAGTAAAACTCTAATTTTGATTTATTGCTAAGAACTGAGATTTATATTAGCTGAATGCATTTGGAGGCGGGAGAGGCACTCAGTTTTCTGGCACCCTATCTACAGTGGTTGTGTAAGAGCATGATTAATTCATTAATAAAGCATAGCTTGTCAATGGGTAGCACCGAAAATATTACGTATTAAGAGCACCAAGTGTTCGACATGCTGCATGGAGAACCCTCTGCCAGTGTGCCAGAGCAAGCACCAAACCAGAGCTGGCTGCAACCAAAATAAAGAATAAAAACAAATTTAAAAAAAATCTTCACATTCACTTCAGAAGAGCTCTCAGGGTCTGTGTTAAAGGTGGGGGACAGAGGGTAAAGCGCTTGTGTAATAATAACAGCTTTGGCTAACAAAAAAGCAACTCCAGCAAAAAGTGCTGAGAAGTGTCTAAATCCTTCCTGCTGAGTAGAAGGAAAACAGCACCTACTGGAAACAGTGGGATTTGGGGAGGGCCAGACCAATTTACACTGGCATTCGGTAGTTAACATTAAGCACATAAGGTCACTTATTAACAACATATAGGTTTTAACAACTGCTGACTGCAGGGAGGTGTGTTACTCATATGACCGCATCATGCCTCCCCTCCTCCTCTCCAAAGAATGATCAAAGAGCAGAGATTCCAAATTGTGAAGCAATTTTTTCCAACGGGAGCATCTGGGTT